CTAGTTAGTGGATTAAAAGTAGACAGTTCTAGATCATGGATGCATTATGTTCCTAGGTCAGTGTGCGAATACCTGACTAACCCACATTTCAGAATATTCAGGCAATAACTAAGGTGAATTTTCATTTTGTAGTGATTTTATATGCTTATCATATATTTATTACTAATATATTCATTATAGTATAAGGAAATATATTAGAGGCAAAGTCAGGTACCCAACAAACTTTGTGTAATGGTAGAGACAGAAACCAAGCTAGAACTTGAAACTGATATTGCATTATCACAGGAGAAGCAGGTGAGGGTCTCATGTGAGAACCAGGAGAGATTCACATAGGAGAATCAGGAGAAAGCACTCTTAGCGGAGAGAATGGTGTAAACAAAGGTATGTAGAAGAAAGATCCCAGGGCGTGACAGAGGAATAGTACCAGTTTAAGTTTAGATGGTGCATTGGGTTTGTGGGAACTGAGGGTAGTTTGTGGAAGATTAAGCAGAAAAATAAATAGAGGAGGAAGATCATAAAAGATTCTAAAATCCAGGTTTGGAATTTCAACTTAGTTTTTGGTAGTACATAGTTATCAAACATTTTAGAGCAGAGAAGTGGCATGATTAGAACTATACTTTAGGTGAATCAATCTGGCAGCGTCATATAGATGGAATGAAGAAACTGGGGGCAGAGAGATCAGGCTTCTATAGAGGACAGGGAAGGGAGAAGGGAAGGCCTAAACTCAGGTGGCCATGGAGACTTAGAGAAAAAGAAGTATGTAGGAGAAGCTGTGGGCATAGAACTCGATAGAATATAGCAAGTAACTGAGTTTTGGGGCCAAATATCAGAGAGAGACCATGGTTTTGAGTCTGGGGGTCACTGTTAGGTAGGCAAAAGTAGGTGATATAAGAGAAAGAGGTGGGGAGAGAATGGAGAAGAGTATTAGATTCTGAACACGCAGGATGTGGGGTCTCAGTGGACGAAAGGAAAGACTGGTTAGAAGCTCAAGGCACACATCAGAGTTAGGGATCTTGATTTGAGAGGCATCTGGACAGAGATGAGAGTTCGAGCTATGGGAACGGATTCACGTTACTATAAGAAGGATATAGAGAAAAAGAAACAGATCAAAGACTGAACCCTGGCAGGAAAACCAAGAGAACACAGTAGGATCGCAGACAAGGAATAGATGGTTCAAAGAGGGAGTGATCGACGGGGTCACTGGCTGCAAAGACATTAAAGAAATCACAGATTCAACAAGGGCCACTGGTTTGGCCCAGTGACAAATAGGTCATGGTGGCTCACAATTACATTTGCCAGATGTGGTAGTAGTGGATGAGCAGTCAGCGGGGAGGACCCATGAGAGCTCAGTAGCTATGATGGTTGATGGCTGTGGCTGTTTTTGTTTTGTTTTGGAAAAATAGGAACAGGTTATAGGCCCAAGTAGGAAGAATACCTAAGAAAAGAACAAGATGAGAGGGAAGAGATGAGGCCACACGCACCAGAGGGGAAAAGGATCCGGCATTTCTTCTACTGAGATGGGTGAGAAGCAGGCAGGGGTAAAGCTAGGAAAAAGTTTAAGGTGAACACAACGGAAACGTAGATACTGCTCCAAAGGTACTGTACACATGACCAGATTATTTTTCTTTTTAATAAAAAACTGCTTTTTTGATGAAATTAATGTGACTTGGGACAAAATTGGTTTCCAAATCTGACTAATCATCAAAATGAATTGTGAAGCTTTTCAAAAAATTTAATCCCAAACCCAGTCACACCATATGAGAATCTCTGGTGGAGTGGCCCAGGTATCTGCATTTTAAAGCCCTTTCAGTGATTCTGAAGGTTAGCTGGGTAAGGGACCTCCTGAGTATGGTTTTCTTTTTATTTATTTATTTATTTTTTTTTATAGTTTATTTATTTTTGAGACAGAGAGAGAGACAGAGCATGAGTGGGGGAGGGGCAGAGAGAGAGGAAGACACAGAATCTGAAACAGGCTCCAGGCTCTGAGCTGTCAGCACAGAGCCTGATGCGGGGCTCGAACCCATAAACCATGAGATCTGACCTGAGCCAAAGCTGGACGCTTAACCAACTGAGCCACCCAGGCACCCCCTGAGTATGGTTTTCAACCAAGGATATGTATCAGAATCATAGGAGCGGGTACTGATTAACTGAGACAGCAGAGTGCAGCTATTCATATTTCATAAAGCCCTCCCAGCCCCCTGCCATGATCTGATGTGCACCCTGGTTAAGAACCATGGTAAAGAGATTGGACTGAAAAAATATACTAATTGGACCGAATATTGAAATTCACCATATCAACTGGTTATCTGTTATTTATATCACCTGACAATTTCTTTTGGACATTTCTCCTATCAAAATGGCACCTGCTCCTTAGCTGGCTGTCACAGGTGGACTGATGTGTTTCTCTCTGGCTTCTTAGTGCCTTTCCACAGGCAGCCGGGCCTGCAGGGATGCCATCTGTGGCTCCTTGGAGAGAGCCTGGCTTTGAAATTTTTGAAGTCTCTTTCAGGGAAAATATACTGAATAACATTGTTCTTTCTCTCAACTAATGATACAATGTATCCTATAAAAGAAACAAAAATGCAGAATGGAGGAAAGATGATAGAAAAAGCAACGATGGTTCCTATTTCCTTCAATCTGAAGGAAAATATTATCAGGCAGATTCATAATTAATTTGGTCGGAAAAAATCCTTACAACATTTGGTCGATTTTTTTTTAAAAGCAGCAGCAACAAGATAACAATTATAGAAATGAGAGCCTGGCACATAGTTGCCTGGCTCTGAGGGAGGCCATAAGCCCAGCCCTTTTAATGCCTCTCAAAGAAATACAAAATTTTCTTTTATCCCACATGATGGTGTGATCCAATTCCTGCTCCAGCAGCCCCAACTCTCATCTGCTGGAGTCTTTAAATTTACAGCACAGAAGGAAACTGTCAGTTCCTCTCCCCTTTTATAGGACATTCACATTTGCATACTCAACAGACAGTACAAGCCTCAAAGGCCATATTCCCCAAAATGCAATAATCTTACTCTTGAAATACGAAAGATATAATAGTAGCATGAAAATATTCTTACCCCGATGAAGGCTGGCTCCAGCTGTGGCTTAGTAAGTCAAAAACTAGTAAACTTGCTTGTAATAACATCCTAAAAATTCCAAAGGTTATTTTCCCCCATCCACAGTTAAAAAGCCATCTCCTACAGAACAGTGTCACATCTGTGACGTGTCCAGATTAAGGCAAGAGGTTTCTTGCTTCTAGTAATTTGTCTGGTTAGAGATTAAAAAAAATCTGTCTTGAAGCTGTCAGTTAATATTTTTTAACTTAAAAAAAAAGAAAAAAAGAAAGCCATCTTCACGCTTCACAGCAGAACTGTGTGATTTTTAAACAGAGGTGAATTCTTCTCCATATCAGGTATCTGATAGGTTTTTTTTTTCTCCCCGCATTTTAGCATAAGGCAAGCAAACAAAAGGTTATTCCGCGAGGTTTCAAATGCATCTGAGTAACATAAACTGAAGTTAGCTTTCTTTGATATAGAATTACTGACACATCTCACTGAAAAAACAAAATCTTCCTTGCAATTAATAAAGAATTGTGGTATTCTAACAAAGCTGGAAGCTAAGGATCTTCAAATTCCAAATCTTTCCATTCCTGGATGAGCTTTGGTATTCAGATGTTAATATGATGCCTGCTTTTTTTTTTTTTTTTTGGCCAGTGTTCAGGCTAAAGAGTCTGTGAAACAGACTTTTTCCATCCTATGACCTCAGTTTTAGGATTTCTTTCTTGCAAAATGTTAGTTATTTTACTTGGCAGATTGCCAGAATTCATTCTTACTTTCTCTCATCCTTCTATTACTTTATCTCTTTTCCCTTCTTTTTTCTCTCTCTTCTTCACCTTATCTTGCTTCTATTGTTTGATAAATTATGGATTTAAATTACAGTCCAGTTGGACATAAACTTACATGGTGTTTAGTAGGGTTGCTAGAATTAGCAAATAAAAATACAGGATGTGCAGTTAAATTTGAAGTTCAGGCAAAAAACAAATAATTTTTAATATAAATATGTCCCAATTATTATATAGGGCATAGTTAATACTAAAAAAATTCCCAAATATTGCATGGGATATACTAACACTAAAGATTATTCCCTGTTACTCTGAAATTCAAATTTAACTGTGTGTCTTGTGTTTTATCTGGCAATCCTAGTCTGGAGGTTAAACAGAAGGGATAAAAAAAACAGCAAAGACATCTATTTACAGCTAGAAGAAGAGAAATTTCCATTCCTATCCTTCTGAATGCTTTTTGTCTAGGTATAACTCTCCATGGCATTGGTTTATTTTTGACCCATCCAGTTTTATTAACAGATCCACAGAGCATACCACATCCTGATACTGAGGAAGTCCACAGGGTTTCAGCTCTGGATCACCTGAGTCTAGAACTTAGAAAATAGATCCCTCAGACAATATGGGATCTTAGTCCAGCCACAAAACCATACAGATACTCAAGTTTTAACTGACCATTCTCCTTTGAAATTTCTACATCAAATTTAATATTTTCAAAGGCACTGAAAGAATTTTCTCTCTGTAGTTTCCACTCTGAGGCAATTTAGCATGATTAGTAACAGTAATTATTAGGAAAAACAATATAATTCAATTATACTTCAAAATGCAATTAAATGATCACTTCTTGGACATTTTGAAAGGGGAGATAAAAGTACTGATATGGTCCAGACATTTAAAGATAAGATGAAGATCTTAACTACATTAATTATTAATTCAAGTGCATTTTCCAAAATCTAAGTATACCCAGGGGTGACACATAATACAGAAATAATGTTCTCTTGTTCAAAGACATATTAATATTCAGTATTTTGAAATTGTGTTGAAGTCTAATAGACAGAATGGAGACTGTATGGAAGTATAGTTAAAAGCATGGGCTCAGGAATCAAAGTGAGTTCAAATCCCAGTTGTCACACACTAGCTGTGTGACTCTGGGCAAGTTACTTACCCTCTCTGTGCATCATTTCCCTTATCTGTAAATGGGGATAACCATTCCAGAGAGCTGTGAGAATGATATGAGTAAAATGCTTAGAATAGTGCCTACCACATAGTAAAGGGCTCAGTAAATTTTGGGGGTGATGATCCTAGTCCAAATTGTCAATAAGAAAACAAAACTCACAAAATCAGAGATTGGCTCCATTTTTTGCAATTGACCCATGAGAAAAATGATTTTTTTCCTGTGGCCAAATGGAAAATAGATTTATATTTTCAAAATTAAAAATAACACAATTTTGTGTACTTGTCCATTAACAGACCTTTTTGTTTTCACAGTATACAACTTTTTGGGTTGTGTGAAACTAGCATCGAAGAGTTTTAAGAAGTGAAGCTGTATGGTTAACAGTTCTACTCAACTATTGGTTGCTTTTCTTGTTTCACCCTGCTTATTATTCTCTTTACTCTCCCAAACTCCAAAAGCAAATGAATAGCATTCTTTCCTCCATCCCTAAAAGCCAATTAATCTAATGCAATCTTCTAGGCTTTAGTGTTAAGCACTCTTTCAAATGAAACAGCCCCCGTCACTGGGTTTCCTGCCATCTGGTCACTTTTAACTTCAATTGTTTGTGTTTTGAACCAGGAATGGAGTCCAGCAGTGCTGGGTCTACACTACAACGCAGCTCAGGTGTCTGCAGTTGGAGGCAGTCTCAAAGAAAGAGTGCTTTCAAGTCAGACACTTCTAGGGTAATGTCCTGGCTCAGCCACACTACCTGTGTGAGCTCTCTGAGACTCACTTTCTTTATCTATAAAAAGATTCTAGGGGCTCCTGAGTGGCTCAGTCAGTTAAGCGTCTGACTTCGGCTCAGGTCATGATCTCACGGTTCCTGAGTTTGAGCCCCACGTCGGGCTGTCTGCTGTCAGCACAGAGCCCGCTTTAGATCCTCTGTCCCCCTCTCTCCCCACCCCTCACCTGCTCATGTGTGCATGCCTGTGCTCATTCTTTAAAAAAAAAGAGAGCTAACACTATCTACTTTTTAAGTTGCTATGAAGATTCAAAGACTTGATTCACCTATAGGGTGATCCTATGTTTCACTATACAGCTGTCCTCCCTGGGGGACTGTGATATTATATAGTTATCCTATTTATATAAGGCATTTAGCACACAGTCTGGCATGTAGTTACTATTCAGTGACCTCTTAATCATGATATACCAAGACCTTTACTATTCTAAAGAAAAGCTTTTAATCTCACCAAGTCCTCATTTTAAAAGCAGGAACGACTTTTTTTAACATAGAGAGATGAGTGTGTACATGTGTGTTAAAGTCTGGTCGCCTGCCCATTATCCCTACATTCCCGTCTCTTTGTATATTTCAGCTATTTAAGAAGCTAAAAGTGGGGGTGGAATTCTCTGTGGTAGAACCTTGAGGGCAGAGGCTTAAATATTTTACATGCTTTGCTAGGATCATGTGAGTGTTGCTTTCGCAAAATGTACTCTGCCAACAGAAGGCCCTCTGAGGTGAGCAGGTGGGCCAGGGCTGGGAATCTGTCTTTTTACTTCTGCCAGCTATTTGGATGGTCAGATAAATTCCAGACTCCAGCCTCTGCTATTTTCAAGCTCTCCATCACTTGTGCAGGAATACTGCCCCTTCCTCATCATCTTTCAGAACCAGGCTTCCTCCCGAGGCCTCCTCCCCAGCTCTTTGGGATACAGTCTTCCTGATGATATGGAGGGAGAGCAGGCATTGAGGGCTTTTAGGGAAATACCCGCCCTCTATACAGAAACAGGATTTCTCCCTTAAGAATCACTTCTGCTGGGACACCTGGGTGGCTCAGTCAGTTAAGCGTCCGACTTCAGCTCAGGTCATGACCTCATGGTTCGTGGGTTCGAGCTCCACGTCAGCCTCTGTGCTGACAGCTCAGAACCTGGAGCCTGTCTTCGGATTTTGTGTTTCCCTCTCTCTCTGACCCTCCCCTGCTCATGCTCTCTCTCTCTCTCTCTCTCTCAAAAACAAATAAAACATTAAAAAAAAGAAAAAAAAGAATCGCTTCTGCTTCATATGCCCTCTGCACTAGGCCACAAACTGAAAGTGGTTCCTGCAAGTGCTTCTGGAGCTGGCCAACCTTGCTGACATCTAGGCCACTGATGGCTGCAGAACCTCCCAACTCTGCCAACTTTGAGAACTTGGTTTTCTGTTTTATAATATAGGATGTAATAATGTAATAATATACCTCATTGGATTACTCAAGAATTAAGTAAGACAGCATGTACAGTACAGTGTCTGGCACAAAATAGTCATTTAATGCCTGTAAAGTATCATAATAGTACCAGGCTGCCGAGGATGGCATCAGCATTAGAAGCAAAGAGAATCTGTGATCTGGGGGCAATGGTGGGGGGAGGGAGAATTCAGTTTGTAAATATGTAAGCTCTGCATTTTGGAGGTTTACATCTGATTAAAATCTGTAGAAGAGAAAGAACAAACCTCACTAGTCGTATTTCTGAAAGAAGACACAGAAAACACACAGCAAATGTATTCCAACCATCCTTTGGGTTACTCCGCATTCATTCACTGATTCATACTAACAATTTCATATTGCATAAGTATTATGTTCTAAATGCTGGGCAAAACTTCAGCATAAGAGCATGCAGAAGCTTTATAAAAGAAAACATTTGGAGGAAGCATAATCAGTCTGTTAATACCAGGCAATATTTATTGATTACCCACTGCAATCAATACATATGGTAATATTTATTGATTTACCACACTCTCCCATGGCCCAAGTGATTCCTCAGAAAAACAATGCCATCTGCTAAAGCCACAGTGAATAGAGTAGCTAAAGTTTACTAGTTAATGCCTCTGTAGACTGTAAGAGCTCATTGCAGAGGTGCCAAACTCACATCTAGAAACTGTCCACCTTAATCATTAAGTGAAGGAAGAGGTTGCTTATGTGATCTAATCAGGGGTCACTGAAAAACTTTCCCTTCTTGCATATTGTACACTCCAACTATCACCCTCATGAGCCTAGGAACGGGTTCTAAAATTTCCTGAGTTGTTGGGCCTTTGAGTTCAAGCTTTCCTTGGCCCTGTGAGAATGCTTACAGGTTCTCTGAGGGGAATACTGCAGGTATAAACTAGTCACATTCTGGTAGTGGGGCCAGAGAGAAAGCCTGTGGCAGAGCTGAGTGGGAAGACTCAATGGATACAAATCTTTGGACAAGTTTCTTAGACTGTTTCAGTCTCAGTTTCCTCATCTGGAAAATGAGGAAGAATACTTCCTTTAGAGGCTATGGGGAAGTCTGTGGAGGCTGTTTTCATAAGGTGACTGAGCAGGGGCCAGAGCATGTTATTTCCTTCTTCTTCCTCACTCTTTGGGCACAGACTATCTCATTAGTTGGTCAGTAACCTATACTGTGTTAAGAACATTGGCTGACAAAGGAGAATTTGTGTGGTTTGACTTATATTTTAAAATATTAAATAAGAATTGAAGATGTCAGTAGTTGTGGGCAAAGTTTTTTGATACCTTTCTTTCAGTATATACACGTTCATAGGATATGATGTAAAATGTACTTCTGACTGCGTAGGTTATGTTCAAAGGGTATGAAATGAGTACACACCCCAAATAATTAAAAGCAGGAATTTGAAGTGGTATTTATATATTCCTCTTCATAATTGGCATTATTCACAACAGCCAAAAAGCAGAAGCAACCCAGGTGTCCACTGATGGATGAATGGAAACACAAAATGTATATACACACCATAGAATATTATTCCATTACATATATTATATATATATGTATATGTATATATATGTATATGTATGTATATATGTGTATATGTATATACACACACATATATGTATGTATATATATATGTATACACATACACACACACACAAGTTAGGTATAAAAAGGAAATAAACTCCTTTTTAAAACAGAAGGTAATTCTGACACAGCCTACAACCTGGATGAACCCTGCAGACATTATGCTATGTGAAATAAATCAGACACAAAGGACTATGTGATTCTATACTATATGAGTATATACTGTATGACTATATACTATATGATTCTACTATATGAGGTCCCTAGAGGAGTAACATTTATAGACACAGAAAGTAGAGTGGTGGTTGCCAGGGACCAGAGAAGGGGGAAATAGGAGTTACTGGCTATGGCAATTTATCAGTTCAGTGTATCAGCAGAGTCTCCATTTGGGAAGATCAAAAGAGTTCTGTGGATGGGTGGAGGTGATGGTCACACAATGATATGAATATGCTTAATGCTACTAAATTGTACACTCAAAAATGGTTAAGATGGTAACTTTTATGATATGTGTGTTTTATCAGAATTAAAAATTTTAAAAGACACTAAATTACAAAAAAAATTGAGAAATCCTGACCTAGATAACACTGAGGAGAGGTGCGTTTGGAGGGGGCCTGAACGTAAAGGAAAGAGAAAGCGTGAGTCTCTGGGGAACCAAGCAGGAGTCAGGGAACACACTCTCTAGTTGTTCTGAAGAACTCTCTTTTGTGACCTCTGGGACCAGAGGCCTTTGAGTCTGGTGTAGGAACACAAAAGATAAAGTATGCAATCTTATTCTGTAATGGCATAATTTCCAACTTACATTCTTGGTTCGTTGGGAGTTTTAATCTGAGAGTACAATGAATATGACAGCAATATCTAGTCTCTCCCTCAGGTAAAACTGACATACACACCTCTTCTCTTTCAACAAGGCTGTCCAGCCTTGGACTTATTGGTATCCATGTGTTGGGCCAAGGCCTTCCTTCTTTATTGAATAAACCATACCTCTTGAAGGTCTTCAGCCTAGCTTGTTCATCTACATAATGAGGGTGTCCAAGGAACCCTAAAGGCTCTTCCTATTATATTTTTTATTCTTGGTGTTTGAGACCTGAAGAAACACAATCTGGCCAATTTTTTTTTCTAGCAAAGGCTGTACACTAGGTTTCTCATTTTCTCAGCAGACAGAATCCTGGCAAATTACTTAAACAGATACAGAAAGGAAGTCTCTGGGGACAGACATCCCATAGACTGAAAGAACAGCCACAGTTCAT